TTTTTAATGCAAACTGGATAAATTCCGGGCCAGAATTTGGCCCACACACACTCTCTCTCTGCCTGGGGTAAAGTAAGGCAGGTCAGCTGGTCTCAAGATAACATGTAGGATTCAAGAATATTATCCTGAGCATGTGATGGTGTGTGAGGGCTTGTGTGTGTGCCTTTCTGAGTGTGTGAGATCACAATGAGATCACACACTTTGTCAGAGGACAGCCCCTAAAACGGCTCAATGATTAGGGAGAGAACAGGAGACTGCTGGCTGGGTTTAACAGAGGGAGAGGTGGAAGGAGGTTTGGTGGAGGGTTAGATGGTGGCATAGAGGGGAAGCAAGTTTCAGAAATCTCCAAGCTACAACCTTTGAGAAGTAAGTCTTAGTGCTTGTATAAATACAGGTAACAGCAATCCTGTATTTCTCTGCTTGTACCCTACTAACTAGATGTAACTTTCTGGCAGCTAACGTACTCCTCTGTGCTGCTTTTGAGTCTAACCTTTTCAGCTGCAGTCTGTGAAGGCATCAGGCTTTAATTTGAGCATCTTCTTAGCAGGACTTTACATTCCCACTGTAGTTAAGACTGGAGCTCCTCTGACTTTTCATCATGAAGAACTTGTACGTATCTGTAGTTCTGCTGCAGCTCATTGGGACTTGTTTATGCCAATACCCTCGCCCATGTGCCAACTCAGAGGGCCTACGGACCAAAGAGTGTTGCCCTGTGTGGGACGGGGATGGCTCACAATGCGGTGCCATGTCAGGACGTGGTTTCTGCACCGAGGTGGAGGTCTCCGATGAGCCCCATGGGCCCCAGTACCCCCACAGTGGGATTGACGACAGAGAGCGATGGCCTTTAGCTTTCTTTAACCGGACTTGTCGTTGTGCTGGAAACTATGGAGGTTATAACTGTGGTGAATGCAGGTTTGGTTACTGGGGTTCAAACTGTGCTGAGTACAGGGAGTCAGTGCGCAGGAACATCCTGACCATGTCACCTGCAGAGCAACAGAAGTTCACCTCTTATCTGAACCTGGCAAAGAACACCATCAACGCTGACTATGTGATCTCAACGGCAACAAGAGCAGAGATGGGGGAAAACGGTGAGAACCCCATGTTCTCTGACATCAACTCCTATGATCTCTTTGTCTGGATGCACTACTACGTGTCCCGGGACGCCTTCTTGGGAGGGCCAGGGAACGTGTGGAGAGATATTGACTTTGCCCATGAATCTGCTGCATTTTTGCCATGGCACCGAGTCTTCCTGCTCCACTGGGAGAATGAGATAAGAAAGCTGACAGGAGATTTTAACTTCACTATCCCATACTGGGACTGGAGGGATGCCCAGACCTGTGAGGTATGCACCGACGCTCTGATGGGGGGACGCAGCCCCCTCAATCCCAACCTCATCAGCCCCGCTTCAGTCTTCTCCTCATGGAAGGTGAGAAAATAAATGCTATTTCTCTGAATCTCATTGTGAGTGTGACTGTGAGTGAAAACTGCATGTTTAACTATGTGTTGATCTATTAGCAAATCTTTCTTATCCATTATTAGGAAACAAAAGATTCCTTTCTCCAGGAAACAAACAAAGGCTTGTTTCCCCCTATTGCACTATGCAGGTTTGCTTCTAAAGCTGGTTTAACCTCTTAATCCAAAGAAATGTGCGATTTGGTTTGAAACCTGCCATTTCTTTTTTTTAAGAATTGCCCTCAAGGGATTCATTCAACATAACAGATCAGAGGGGAAATCCTACTTCAGAGGCTTTAGACCACATGGAAAATATCAAAGATAGCGTCTTCTCAGTTATTGAGAGAAGTCTGTCCAGAAACTTGCAGTTTGATATTTGGGGTAGAGCCTCAGGAAGGTCTATGACCCTTAAACCTAAGTAACTTACAAAATATGTGTGTGTGTGTGTGTGTGTGTGTGTGTGTGTGTGTGTGTGTGTGTGTGTGTGTGTGTGTGTGTGTGTGTGTGTGTGTGTGTGTGTGTGTGTGTGTGTGTGTGTGTAGGTGATCTGCACCAATCCCGAGGAGTACAACAGCAGAGAGGCCTTGTGTAACGCCACAGGGGAGGGTCAACTGCTGCGCAACCCTGGCAACCATGACCGCAACCGCGTGCCGAGACTCCCCACAACAGCTGATGTGGATTTCACTGTGGGCCTCTCGGAGTACGAGTCGGGATCCATGGACAGATTCGCCAATGGGAGCTTTAGAAACGTCATAGAGGGTAGGGGTGTTACACACACACACACATACTGTGCACGTTATTATAATTCTCAACAATTAAAGCTGAATCCAATCCTTGGTCTAATCTGTCCAATCAAGTGGAAGACTAGTTATGCAGTTAGTTCCTGCAAGGGTAGACAAGTACATGTCTGTCTGCATCAAAGAATAACAAGAACAAATAGTGATGTGGAAAACTTCAGGTCAAACTTCCCAGATAACAGATTGCCTCCATGATCCAGGCTTTTTACAAAGGAACATCATTTTATTTTAATTACATGACATGACATGTTACTTGTTAGATGCTTTTATCCAAAGTGACTTACATACTCAATGCTGTGGGCAATCCCCACAGGAGCAATTTGGGGTGAAGTGTCTTGCCCAGGGACACAACGACATGCTGACTGCAGTGGGGTTTGAACCTGTGCCCCACTGATCCGAACACCAACACACTAGTCCACTGCGCCACACGCCTCCCTTGATCCTAATAAACCAAAGAGTCTGAGGGCACGTAAAATACCAAGCCATAACAATCAACAAAATAATGATTCATGTGTTCTTGTCCACAAATAGATGTGACTGTTAAAACGTCATATATAACTTTTAAGTGACTTTTGATATTCCTGCAACAAATGTCTTTAGTAGAAATGTGGGGCTTGTCTACACTGATGATCACTCTACTCACATGCCTGACGCATGTAAACATGTCTCTCTTTGATTCTCTTCTCCTATATACATGTTTTTACTTTTCTTTCCTCTCGCAGGCTTTGCCAGTCCGACGTCAGGTATGGCAGCTCCAGGCCAGAGCACCATGCACAACGCCCTGCATGTCTTCATGAACGGCACCATGTCCTCAGTGCAGGGCTCAGCCAACGACCCCGTATTCCTGCTGCACCATGCTTTCATTGACAGGTACAATGAAGTCTATTAATACACACAGGAAGAGAGAATCCTTTATGGTTACAGCATCACTTAGTGCAGCGTATACCCAATTGTGTTTGTGAAGATGAACAAAGAGAAAATAAGTTAAGAGGCAAAACAAAAGTAAGAAGTATTAAGTCAAGTGGGGCTCGAGGGACAGAGTATTATATGATGGAAATAATGACTCTCTGTTCCTTCCCTCTCTCCTCCAGCATCTTTGAGCGCTGGCTCAGAACTCACCAGCCTCTCCGGACCCACTACCCACGATCCAATGCCCCCATCGGCCACAATGACGGTTACTACATGGTGCCCTTCATGCCTCTGTACAGAAACGGAGACTACTTCCTGTCCGATAAGGCTCTAGGATTTGAGTATGCCTACATGTTGGACCCTGGTGTGTATTGAACAACAAAACAAGGCCAGTAAAAAAAGTGTTTCTACAACATTTCCTAAACGTCAAACTTTTTTATCCTCTACAGGCCAGAGGTTTGTTCAGGAGTATCTGACGCCATACCTGGAGCAGGCCCAGCAAATCTGGCAATGGCTTCTGGGAGCCGGGATCCTCGGGGCGCTGATCGCTGCAATTTTCGCCGCGGTGCTTATTGTTGCAAGAAGGAAGTGGAAGCGTAACCAGAGGAGGAAGAGGGTGCCGAGCTTTGGAGAGAGACAGCCATTACTGCAGAGCAGCTCAGAGGAAGGCTCATCTTCATACCAGACTACTCTGTAACGCACACTGATACTGTACACACACACACACACACACACACACACACACACACACACACACACACACACACACACACACACACACACACACACACACACACACACTAACTATTAGGGACTGCATTTTCATGATGCAAGGTAAACAAGATAAACCCAGGTGCAAGGTAAAATGTGTAATTGAGCTCTGGTAAAGAATCCATTGAAATTTTAAACGGTAACTTGTTTGACTTTGAATTTGAGATAATTACTGCTAAAACTATGGCGATACAGTGCAGGTGAAGTTAATTGAATTGTGATGGTAATAGCATGGAAAAATGTCAGCAACATGTCTTAGAAGAAACAATGAGAGGATTAAAAAACCTTATCTTAACGTTTTCAATGGATTTTAGCGTTTCATATATATATATTTTTGGTATTAAGGTGAACTAACCTTTTGAAGTATGGGGCAATTTAAATCAAGATTGTGGATAAGAATCAGGTACCCAACATCTGAAAGATAACCCAAAAGGTTTATACGTCCAGCAGATCTTTTTGGGATATATTTTTACCTCACACAGAGCCAATTGTTGTTCAATTATAAAATGCAATCAGTCTTTTTCATGAACATGCAAGTATTTTTTATAGTTCACTACAGTATTTTCTTGTATTTGTACAGTGACTTGTCAGCATTCCTTTGAGTACATTTACTGAAATGATTTATCTCAATGAAAGTCTCCCACATCGCTCTTGTGTGTTACCGCTGGTGCTAAAGGACCACAGCAGTGTGCTATGAGAAGAGACTGTGATCTTTCAGAGGAAAAGAGAAGTAAGAGGCATCGTGATAACAAATCATGAGTTTGTGTACTATTATGCTGCATTAAAATTGAACAACAAGATCCGGTTTTCTTTGCAATTTTGTTGTCATCATGTCACATCAAGTTCATATTTGATGGCTATTTTTTAAATGAACCAACTAATTTAATTCATGAATCTAATGAATGCCAGTAAACAGTTGATGCTTTTTACTGGCAAGTGTGTTTTTTTGACAAAATAAAATGTAAAAAAACATACTTGTGACTTCAAATTATATGTTTGTGATAATAACATAGAATTGGCCCAGAAATTAGTAAATGTTTCCCCACTATTTGCAAGCAATATAAGATATAATAAATAGAAAATCTCTTTATTTCAGACTTTGTCAAAAAAAAGAACATTCCTAAAAATAGACATACAATTCAACATTCAAATATATATAAATATGAAATGCTAAATAAATGGTTGATGGTTCATGGTTGTTTCAGGCACACAATCAGAAATATCAAGATGTTGGTTCTTTGCAGAAACCCCCATCTCCTCATTTCTTTGTATCAGTAACTTGACTTTCTGGAGATATGTATAAAAGAAAAATAATAATGACATACACTTTGCCAAAACCCTGCAGAAGTTTTTCTCATAACATAAGAAAATAACTTTACATGTACAATATAAATAATAATAAAAACAACTAAGAATACTGGCTTGAGGTGTAGTGTAGGTTTGCTTTGTAGAAAGACAGATTTTGATACACGTATATGAACAGCAAACAACAAAAGTAAAACAAAGGTCCAATACCAATCCGGCCCCTAAACCCTCTCCCCACTCCTTTTACACGTTTAACACACAGAAGATGGGTTCATTTCGTTGTATAATTACAGAGACTGTTGCAAAAACCAGGCGGCTTAAAAACTTGTTTACATAAAAAGAAATGCCACCAAAAGCTTCAACGTTTTATTCTCCTGGATGTGCTGAGGTTGCCTCTTCCTTAGTAAAACATGGTTACGAAACGTAATAGTTCCTGCTTCTGTCGTAGAGATGCAAGTTAATCATGAAGATTGCCTTTGTATCTATACCTTACGCCTCAAAGAAGGGTGCTTCATTCAGCTGTGAGTGTAAATACAACACCAACACAAAGTGGGAGGGTGTAAGGGCCAGATTAGAACCGGGCTAAAGACTAAATCAGGTGTCCATTATATGTCCACTCATTATCTCTCTTGAAAGCAAATCCCAGCAGATTCTGATGATGACAAGCAACATTTCCCTGAAGGCTGTCCTCAAATCCTCTGTCTGTGAGTGGGACACACCGACACTTTTTGGTCAGTAGAGCCTGGTTGGTACTGGTTCTTTGTTGTGTTAAGTAAAGGTCAAATTCAATTCGGCTGACTCTTAACTCGTTCTTGATTCCACAATGGAGGTTTTCCACATGGTTCCATCTCTGTGTTAATTTTAAATTAACTGTTTTTTTAAATGTTTGGATAAAAAGATAAGTCTGTTGATCCCTGCGTGATGTTTCCGCCTGGTGCACTGAAAGATGAAAGACGTATTTACTCCATGGGGATGTACCAGGGAAAAGATCAAATCCAACAGCAACTTTAGTGGAGGATCTGAGCAGTGGGCTGGTCTCTTCTGTTTTTCTTGCTTCTTGAATATTTTAACAGTCAGTCGTGGGTTTGGCTGTATTTTAAGGTTGTTTTTCTGCTGGGTCTTTTGTGACCGTAGGAGGGATGCATATGAATAAACAAGATAGTCTGTGAATGTTCAAGTTCTTTTGCCCACTTTCATATGTCAAATGGCAAAGTTGTGTTTTTCAGTGAAATATAAAACCAGCTTGGACGTTCGATCAGCTGAAGGACTCCTTGTTGAATTCAAAGGTTGTTCCAGAGGATCGGGCTGAGTTACACAGTCTGTGAAGAGTCTTGGAGATGCCCTTTGGTCCGCAACAGAAAACCCCGACCCGCTTACTGAAACCACAGATAGAGGGAGAAAGAAAGAGAGAGACAGGTTTAACGACTTCCTTATAACTTGTGAGTGTAAGGGTCACTGCCTTTCTGTGGTCAGCCACTTAACTCTGATAGGGATCAGGATCTTTCTGTAAAGGGGTAAAGCAGCAGACAAACGTTTTATCTGATTTCCTGCCTTTACCAAAGCCTGTCTTACAAAGTAAGATCAATGAAGGTGTGTGTTTGTAAAGAGGCAGAGCTGAAACCTTTCCAAATCAGGTGCATGATACACGTATACAAAAACACTACATTGAGTGTTTCCCATAGTTCACCGACTGTGCCTCTGCTACCTCTGACAGGCTCTGATTCATCACAGACAGGTGTTACGGCTTCCTGTTAATGTTGTCAGGGTGTAACGTGCTCTAAAAAAAGTGTAACTCTCCCCGTCGGGGAATTGAACCCCGGTCTCCCGCGTGACAGGCGGGGATACTGACCACTATACTAACGAGGAGCTTTTATCAGGTCACATGACCTTCAAATAGGAAGTCATCAATCAAAGGCTAAAAATGCAACTAAAAAAACCTGGATTGGATTGATTTGATCAATATATACAGTACAACTTACATTTTAAATTAATCATTGATAATTTATCAAACACTGGGGGAAAAATAAGCTGTTTTTTACAGTACGATCAAAGATATGCCCAATAATTGATCAAATCAATGACATTATTATTATTATAGACATAGTTCTATTTGTCTCTGTGGCCTTGTTTTGTGTTTTAACACAATGCATTTCTGTTAAGATAAGGTCACCAAAAGCTGTTTGCCACAAGTACATTACTATAGAAGTGCTCGTGCTGGAACAATATGACACAATTAATACAGTGTATTGAGACAAAGAGTTTAGACGTAATAACACTGGAGAGCATCTTCACCCCTGGACATTCGAAATCTACTTACTGCTTATTGGTCTTCCCGATCTCATCAAACAGTAAATTCCACCTGGGCCGACCAACCAGCAGCCTCGAGGTGAGTGGACGGTACTTCTCCTCCGACATGCTCTGGAAAAGAAGTAATAAGATAAAACATCCAGTTTTCACAATCCTGCAATAACTGATTTGTTTTGGCCATTTTGTGGCAATTGATACAACACTTACATATTATCACTTTTTAAGTTTTTAAGCAAATAGTTGGACGTGTAAATCCAGCCATTATGGAAGAAACCTATCCTTCATGATATTTTCGATATTTCCTTTACTAGAGACATCTGACCAACTCAGTAGCGGATTGATGACACTTTTTTAGAAGAAAATCCATTTTGACATTTATAGGTTAAAAGATCCCAATCAGGACAACGGGTACTCCATCTTCCTCGGCCCCCTCTTCCTCCACTTCTCTTGCTTTCTCCTGTTAACCTTTAAACTGTAGCAGCCTGTGCGCTCCAGTTAAAGGGCCATTAAACGTTATCTGTAGTGCAAACAGCTTTGGGCAGTTATCAACAAAGCCGAGCCAAATTCAGGGGCTGCAAGGTGGGATTAAGTGGAAATGAGCTGCGTGGGTTGTTTCTGTATCAGCCATGAAAGTTATTGATATACTGAGCACAGTTCATTATCGAGCTTTTGCAGATTAAAATAACGGCCTTAAATCCACCAGGTAAATCTAAAATGTATCTGAGCTCCTGTATGGTGCACTGTAGTATTTTATGTATTTATGTCTTTTTTAGAAGTTCTTGACAGTGTTGACTTGACTCTGCAATCATAGATAAAACATTTTAAAGATTATATCATCCATCTGCAATGTAAAGAGGCGATTCAACAGAAATCAAATAATGTGCAGAACTAACTTTTTGGAATGCTGGATCAATCTGGGGTAAGAGACTGACAAGCCAAAAACCTCGGCATATCTCAAACCATTCCCATAGTACACAGGTGTGAGTGAAAAGCCGGGTGACATGTCACTTCCTTTTTGTGGTTAGCTGTTAAACTCTGATACAGATAAGGATCTTTCAGTAGAGGGGCGAGGCAGCACAAATGAGTGTTATCTGATTTGCTGCCTTTACCAAAGCTTGTCTTATAACTAAGAACAACGAAACTGGATATCTGCACAGAGTAAGATCATTCGTTCATGCATGTTTTGCGCATGGACAAAAACACTACATTGAGTGTTTCTCATAGTTCACCGACTGTGCCTCTGCTACCTCTGACAGGCTCTGATTCATCACAGGCAGGTGTTACGGCTTCCTGTTAACTTGGTCAGGGTGTAACGTGATTACAAAAGGTGTAACTCTCCCCGTCGGGGAATTGAACCCCGGTCTCCCGCGTGACAGGCGGGGATACTGACCACTATACTAACGAGGAGCTTTTGTATAGATGTCACATGACGTGTAATCCTAATTTAGTAACAGAACATTAAACATTCCAAGTGAAAATCCTGGTTTTGTTTTCCTATTTGATACATCCATATCTGACATGTTTCCTGGATTATCAATAATTTTGCTTGATCCCATCAACATAAACTATTTAACACTACAGGAATTATTAGCAGCTATTGACAGTATGATCAAACATATGCCCAAACAATTGATAAAAACAATAATATTGATTATATAGCTGAAGAGAATGTGAAATCCAGTGCTGATACAATCTGACACAATAAATATTGGGAAGTTCAGAGAGAGAATAGACACAACACACAGGCTCCCATGCAGACTAACACCAACATACAAGACTTGAATGCCCTGTAGCTTCTCTCTCTGTCATATACCGCCCTCTAGTGGTTTAGCTTTGACTGGCATGTCATATATATCAATGAAATATGAATGAGTGAAAAGTCAATGCAATGAGAAGATGAACATAAAACCATAGTGTGTGTGTGTGTGTGTGTGTGTGTGTGTGTGTGTGTGTGTGTGTGTGTGTGTGTGTGTGTGTGTGTGTGTGTGTGTGTGTGTGTGTGTGTGTGTGTGTCACACCTACCTGCAGGTTGTCTGTCTGACTGACGTACAGTTTCAGGTTAAAGTAGTCCGGTCGGTTTTCCTGCCAAAGCTAAACGACAAACACAGCATCTGTTTTAGTGGTCCTGCATTTCATTTCATTTGTGATTCTTTGTATGCACTTTGATTTGATTGCACCATATTTCTACATACACTTTGTTTTACTTGAGATTTAAAAGCACAGGTGCCACAGTAATCCCCTGCTCAACTGCGGTCTTTTGCGCTTTTTAACCTCTGACCTTCCCCTTCATTTTAAACACCTGAAATAACTTTCTTTGACCTGACTGAGAGCAAATACCCAATAGTAAACCTTTCTCAATAGCCTGAAGCAAGTGGATTATCTTTGCTTGTAAACTATGCTAGCTTTTTTACGGTTAAAGCAGGGGCATGCACAGACATTTAAGGGGCAGTGGCTCAGGTCAAAAAAGAGAATCTTCTGACCTAAGTCTGTCATTCAAAGACTGAAAAATACTGGATACTAGTCGGACAAACAAACTCTGAATATGAGCCAGAGATTAATCCACCATGTTTCAATTGATTGAACATGAAGGCTTCAGCATGCTGACTTTGTCCCTACCTTGTGATGAAGGGCACACAGCAGCTCAGCAAACCAGTAGAAGGACTTGAGCTCCCTGCAGACCCACACAAAGTACAACCTCTGCAACCTGAAACCTGTCCACCCGTCACTAAAGAAAGAAGACAGAAAGAAAGATAGATATGAATAATTTCCTAAATTGCTTTTCATTTGCCAGTGTATGATATTCTTTTACATAACTCACAGAAGAGCATGCAGCACGCAGGCAAAAGGCGTGACTCCTATTCCACCCGCGACACAAACACTGACGTCGTAGTTAAACACTTCCTCTGATGGACTTCCAAAGGGACCATCCACGTAAAGCCTGAACATACAGTGTAGACAAAAAAAACAGACAATTAAACAAGCAACTGGAAAAATATACACATATGTATTTATACTTTTCCCTCAGGGTCAAAAACACATAACAGAGAAACATCCTGCATGGGAAATCCCACTGTCAGATCACACACACACACACACACACACACACACACACACACACACACACACACACACACACACACACACACACACACACACACACACACACACACACACACACACACACACACACACACACACACACACACACACACACACACACACACACACACACACACACACACACACACACACACACACACACACACACACACACACACACACACACACACACACACACACACACACACACACACACACACACACACACACACACACACACACACACACACACACACACACACACACACACACACACACACACACACACACACACACACACACACACACACACACACACACACACACACACACACACACACACACACACACACACACCATCCCTAAAACAGCTGCTCAAATACTTTTTATTTCAAATTAAAAAACGGCTGACGTTAAAGCAAATGTTTATAGTGGCCAAACGGTGGTACTACAACGTCGGTGTCAGTCCGTGGCGTCATTGGGCCAATAAAGACTTTTCCCCATTGACTTCGATAGAGAAAGAGACGTCTATAAATCAAAATCAATAAAAACGTTTGCCCTCAAGACTCAGGACATTTTGGCTTCATGCGCCACTGAGCAACTTTCATAGGAATGAACGGGGTCCTGTCTCCAACTCAGTATCCAGTTTTCTTTATACATCCATCCTGTTTCACGCCTTCCCCCGGTACCGGGCGGATAAACGCGTCATTTGCAGGAAACAACGTCTAAGGAATCTTAATATTGAATAAAACTATGAATGTGTTATATCCATGTAACGGGAAGAAACTCAGCCAACTGATCTTTTTAATTTTTTTTTTCAAAAAAAACCCACAATGCTAGCACTCAGCCTCTGAATTAGCCTCGATCGAAAAAACGGGACCGACAAAGGCACATAAACTCACTCAGAACTCCCTTATTACTTATCCTAGATGCACAACCAAACACTATTTTTTGGTGTCCTGGAGACACTGAATCTAACGGTGCCCACCTCAACACTCAGTGATAAACATTCGCGACGCTATCAACGAAAGCGTACATCATCACATGTGGAGCCAAGAAGCTAAACATATAAATATGGCTTACCTTGGTCAAAAGTGGTCTTCAATGGCATTAAAACGATAAAAAAACGATGCTGCAGTTAATCCATAGGTTCATCCTATGTGTCTGTGCCTTCTTTGAAATTATTTCTGATAATCCATAAGCAATACAACTGCGTTTTAGTTTCCAAACTCCAGAAGGAGACATTCCTCCAGTTTAGTTTCGCTTTCCACACGCGAAGCGGCAACATTTTTTCTTTACAATGTGTGTCTATGTAGGTATCCTCCTTCGATTCTATTGGCTCTAACGGTCACAAGGGTATGTCAACCAACCAGATCGAGCAAGGGGGGCCAGAGATAGGTCAAATCCACCCAAATGACCCCAGATGGCCCAGTTTTTGGCTAAATCTCTCTAAAAAGGTCAAATTTCACTTGTTTTGCATCAATCTTGATACAGGGTACTTATTATATGTTGTACTTTGGATTCCTAAAGCTTTTAGTCTACTAACCTAACCCATCATCCAAGGGTAGTTTTCACTATCTGTAAAAAATAATTTTTGGACGGACACTATAATTTACAGTTTTTTACTATGTAAAATCTGAATTTTCTTTAAAATAAAAAACATTTATATTGATTCTGACACTTCTACATCCAACTCACAGGTTTATCATTACTTTGAGAAAAGATTATTAATTTAACCCTTTTAGAAGGGAAGATATGGTCATTTGTTCTGGGAATGTCATTTTCGAGCCTGAGACCTGAAAAACAGGCTCAGAGTAAAGTAGCAAAGTCAAATGTTAGTTTGACAGCTTTGCAGTGATAGGTGATCCAAATATTTAGCTTTATTTGTAGCAGTTTTCCCAGCCTTTAAACTAAACAGGTTTGAATATATTTCTTTAAAAACAATAAAACCTGTATCAATATTGCAGATATTGTATATTTCCCAAAATGTCTGACTATTTGTCTTTCTTGAAAACAATTTAAAAAAACATTTTATTAACAATATATGCATGTAATTAGTCGAACTATAACAAATTAACAATACATGGAAATTAACCCTAACTTTGCATTGTTGTATACCTCGCCAATCTTTATAGAGTGAGGGGGGTCTGGGGGTTTCGATGGTTTGTTTAGCTCTGGTTTACTGTCGCAAAACAAACTCATCTCCCTCTCCATCTCTGCCTATCTCTCTCTCAAACACAGAGCAGGAAGAGGAGGGGGTCAGAGGTCAGGAGGTCAAAACCTCTGACCCCTCTGTGATTCTGCGCCTTCATGAGAAATCATGTCAGCCACATCACACAAACAACAGCCCCTCACATGGACACCCACCCACACACACACACACACACACACACACACACACACACACACACACACACACACACACACACACACACACACACACACACACACACACACACACACACACACACACACACACACACACACGTACTTTGGGTATCTCCTCTGTTGCACCATGGGAAGGATCTCCAAGTCTATCCTTGGTTCAGGAAGTAACAGCTGTGTGAACCGCTCTGAGGGGAGGAGAGGTTTTAAGTTTCATATTATTTCATCCACTGATCTAACTCTCTAAGAATGGAGAGTGACATCAAGATTACCATGTAAACAATACTGTACAGTTATTGCCATATTTAGAGGTGTCTTTACATTCCCACTCAATGCTTTCCATTGTTTCCTTACAACATGTGGTCACGGCAGATTAAGGGGCCAACACAAACAGACCCACTTCCCTTTCTGTGTTCTGAAAGCATGTGTGTGGGGATATGTACAGTAGCAAGTGGAAAAAAGTGTACATGTTCTCGATCATGTCACAGGCTCCCAAAGGCCAAGGCTTCCTCGAGAAGTTAATGCCGTTTAAGTCTGCTGTATACAAATGGAGCTAATGCATAAGCATAAAAGAAAATGCAAGGATAGGATAGTGTTTCTTGTCATTGGCTTTTCCTTTTCTCTAATCTACTTTAAATGTATGTAAAGTGCTTGTGCCTCAAAAACATAAAAAATATGTGCAGATTTGCAGCCCTTTAGAAGAAAACCAACAAGCTCTGTAAGTGTTAAATAACTGTGTATTATTTATTTGTGTGCCCATGCAGCATGGCAACTCAAGTTTTCCATCGAGACAATAAAACTGTGGGAACCATGCACACACGAAAAGTGAGAAATACCGGTAGACACAGAGGCACACTCACACATAAAAATGTAGGTTTTTGTAAATGCCTCCCCAGAGACAAGGGAAAAAACAAAGAGACTTCCATCCCTCGACTCTGATAGGCAACAAAAAATGTGTGTGTGTGTCTATTTGTCAGTCCTTTTATCTCTGCGTTTCTGCACATGTAAGCATATGAGTGTGTGTGTGTGTGTGTGTGTGTGTGTGTGTGTGTGTGTGTGTGTGTGTGTGTGTGTGTGTGTGTGTGTGTGTGTGTGTGTGTGTGTGTGTGTGTCCGCCCACCAGTCCAGTCTCCCACGACTCGGAGATGAACACCAAACGTTTCCTTGTTCTCTGTGGGACACTGCAAGGAGTTAGAGAGAGAGCAGACAGTGAGTCACAACACAATACACACAGAGACATACACAAGAACACACACTCCTAGTTGTTGGACTCATACATGTGCAACTAACACAAAGACAGACATGCACACACTCAACCATGCTACATAGCGAGAACTCTTTTCATTACATTTTACAATGCACGCACACACACCCACACACACACACTGATACACACAACCTTCCTGTTGGCAGGCCGCGTTACTAGCCTCAGGGGTCTGTCTGCTCTCTGTCAGTGTGATTCGCTGCCCTCCTCCTCAGAGCCCCATAACACACCAGGCATAGGCATGCACATACTGGTGTGTGTCTGTGTGTGCGTGTGCGTGTGTGTGTGTGTGTGTGTGTGTGTGTGTGTGTGTGTGTGTGTGTGCGTGCGTGCGTGCGTGCGTGCGTGTCTCTCTTTGTGAGTTTGAGTCAATTCCTGAATGCTGACTTAACAGCAAGTTGTTTGTGTGTCTTCCGCTCCTACCTCATACAATCTGGACTTAATCTGAAAACATTTACAAACAATCTGAAACTGAATATATCTGGACGACCCAGCTGTCATTCACATGTCAGCCAGCAGCAGAGGAGGGCGGGATGTTGAGAGAGACAAATAACTGCATGTTCTTTGCCAGGGGGGAGAACGTTTTAGAAACTGTAAAGACACGTGTGTGTGTGTGTGTGTGTGTGTGTGTGTGTGTGTGTGTGTGTGTGTGTGTGTGTGTGTGTGTGTGCTTGTGTGTGTGTGTGTGTGTGTGTGTGTGTGTGTGTGTGTGTGTGTGTGTGTGTGTGTGTGTGTGTGTGTGTGTGTGTGTGTGCGTGTGTTTTTGCATTGTGTCATGAGTGAGGAATGTGTTGCAAAGGGTCTTACCGTTGTGAGTGTGAAGGGATGGTTCTCAAATGAAGAGACACCTGGACAGTTAAGAACAATATACTGAGAAAGAGAAGGAGGAGATGGCGAGACAGAAAGGGGCAGAAAGAGACAGAGAGGATTAGAGGGGGGGCATGTTGAGAGCAAACCAAAGGAAGTGCAGGAGAAAAAGTTGGATAAACCTTTTAACTTAGGAATCATACAGCAGAGGCGTTTATATCGTCCTCATAACACATAATTTGTCAAACTTAATAGCAAAGTAGTTAAAAACATTGAGGAGATAAAGATGTAATGTCTTCTCACCTGTCCAGGTCGAGCTTTAAAGTGTTTCTTCAGCATGCGCAACTCAATGACATCACAGGGGTGCCTGATGACTGTCACTATGGTTACAGGGTCGCTGCTCCGGATGTAGCGGTAGAAACGCTCGGCACAGTAAAGACAGAGAGGGCCGGACACCCAAAGCCATGTCTACAAATACACAATGGAAAAAAACGGATTTTCTCCATCGTTATATTAACACTTGAATGTTCTAACAAGTAATGGAGGCATTTCAAAAGAAGACTGGCACAAATACAAAAACGAATTATAGCTTTCATTTAATGCTGAAGGCTGCTTTGCTGTCTGCACATGAGAGACACTCTAGTGGGTTTTGCCATTTACACTTACACAGTTATTTTGAGTTTTACATTAACGTTACATTAAGACATTTGGACCGACACACTGTTTTACAGGCATGGCTGTACAGCATGTTGTTGAGAAATGGTTACCTGAACCACTTTTCTCTGCGCAGCCCTGCAGAGAGGTTTGCTTTGATAAGTCTACATTTTCAACAGCCTTCAGATGGACTTTTGCTCTTCTTGTACTGAGCAGCTGAAATTCGATAATGATGAAGTTTTGTTACTGAAGTATTTTAAACATATCTGCAGACATTTTATAGCATTTTAGAGGGTAAACTTCTAATTATTAGGGCAGCGTTCACGCAACCAAGATGGTTACCCCTGTTGCTTGGCTTATTGTCACACCAGGTATATTACAATGAAGTATAAAGTAGCTAGTTCTATTGAGTTACATTTGTTTTAAAGATACAAATGGACAGTGTATTAGCAGGCTGTTTAAATTAGTAAAATAACTTGCATCTGTGTTCACTTTGGATTTTAAAAAGATGGAACTTCAGATCCGTTCTTACTTTTGCAAAGTGAACACATCAATGCTGTAGATGATTCCATCTCAAGATTCAAACAGGAGGTGGAATTTTTTTTCCCTCAAGGCTGCTTATAATTTCGATCTGGGTGGTATAAAAAGACTGCAGCGTTAGCTCTGATACAGGACACGTTGGGGAATCCTATGTTGCCTTTAATCAAGGCTGATTCTCCTAACACAACAAAGCTCTGAATCAGACTCAAGAGAGTATATTTGTGAGAACACACGTGAAATCTCTCCACCTTTCTATCTGTGTTTCTGCTTCTTTTTGTTTGCAGTTACCCTGAGCAGACTAATTGCTCACAACTCCATTAAAACCTGCAAAGCACAATGGGGTTTAAGGGGGATTTTATGGAACCAGCTCGCTGCTTAACGACCATGTGCAAACACATAATCACACCCGCAGGAAGAAACGCACACAAACACCGGCCTTGAAGTAGGAAGAGGATGCCTGCCCCTCCCCTACAGCACTGAACCTCTAATAAACTGCCTCCGACACCTCCCAAATACTCAACACATGTATTCACTACTTATACAAAACTTTACAACACACACACACACACACACACACACACACACACACACACACACACACACACACACACACACACACACACACACACACACACACACACACACACACACACACACACGCGCACACACACACACACACACACACACACACACACACACACACACACACACACACACACACACACACACACACACACACACACACACACACACACACACCTGAGGGTAGTGCGGCTGGAAGTGAGCCTCCTCTCCGCATCTTCTCTCTTCGTCCTCACCCGCCTCCAGCTCCTCACCCGGCTGCTCCGTGCTGCTCTGATTGGCTCTGAGGCAGCCAGGAGGGTGGCCCTCTAAGTTGGTCTGATACTTCAGAGCTCCTCTGATGGAAAGACAAGAATCAAGATTATGTTAGATGGGGATTTTAGTGTAACATGAAGGATTGCCTGTAAAGTATGTATGTATGTTTGTGTATGTTCAGCCTAGGACCACATATGTGAGGGTATTAAAAAATTCCTACATCCTGATTTTCCATTAAAAACTCTTAGAAAATGTAATTAAAATGAAATGCTGTCTTGAGCAAGTGACATTATATTAGCATGTAAAATAGGTCTATAACAAGACTATTAATTTACGAAGGGATTCAGTTAAACACTGCGTGATTTATTTTATCAGTGAGTCAAAAGCAACTTGAGCAAATGTAGAGATGTCTCCAGCTGTCAGTGGGAGGCACCAATATTTGCTGACATTCACAGTTGAAGCTAACTCTTATCTTGTTTTCTGTAAGAAGTGGTTGAGAGGGAGACAAATTGTGCAAAAAAAGAAAACGTGTCGACTCATTCAGAGACAAACCCACACACAAGCACACACACGTAGATGTAATGCTTAGCCCAGACACCTACCCGACCATGTGCACCATGAGGATGATGTAGAAAACAATGAAGAGGTTGTGTGTGTACCAGAAGATCTCATAGTTGGACAACCTGAAAAAGAAGCATCATATAGGATTTAAGGAACTCTTCTAACACTAAGGATTTTCAAAAGAGAGATAATGATGAAAAGTAGATATAAATGAGGAATTATAACGTTGTAATATGATATAAGGAAACCAGAGAACAAGAGGCACAAAAAGAGCAAAGACAACAAAAGAAGAAAGCGAGGTCAGAGTTTGTTCAGGACCAGACGCACAGACTCCCAGCACAGAGCCTGAGTAAGCAGGACATCAGAGGTCAATATGAAAGGGGTCATTACACACAACGACCCCCCATAAATACTGCAAACAATGAGCGTCATCAAACCCTGTATTCATCCTCTGCTACTGCAACTTCTGTCATGTTTGTTTTCTTAAAGTATACCCTGTTTCTGCAAAGGGACACCACGCAGCCGAGCATCTTAGTTTATTATAAAACAAAATGAAAGTGTTAAGTGATCATTGCTTCATAATCCAGTGATTTTACCCTTAGTCTATATTTGTAAAAGTTTAGTAAAACTGTCTCAAAGAAAAACAGATGTACTGTATAACATAAACATTTGCACATTTAGTATACCTTACTAATAGAATCTGTACAAATATATTCCCATTAAAACAAATCTCTGCTCAGTAGTGTGCTATGGGAGACCCTCATACTGTATGTTATCAGTATAAGTATTGTATCAAAAGGGCTTGATCAAAGCAAAACACCTAAAGTTGTTTTCTTTTGTCCAGCATTAACAGGATGACAACACATGTTAAGGCTGGCTTAAATATAAATACGTTTAATATTATCATATGTCAGAATTAAAGACACATTGTTTTCGCTTTTTTTTAAAAACACAAGCATAACAATGATGTTCAGGTTATCTTGATCTACTCGTATTTAATCAGTATTATTTGTTTTTATATATTCTGTTATTTATAAATCTTTGCATTATTGTTTGAGTAATCTTCAGGGCATTATTGTCTGGTAGTATCACTGGATCATTGTGACTCATTATGCAGGTATTTCTGGTGTGGCAGCCTTCATCCCAGCACTCAAGACACTTCCCCAAACTCTTATCTAAAGCCCTAAGTGGTCTGGAAAAGCCTCTTATCCTCTGTTCGATTACAGAAGAAAGCAAGGACAGCACTTGCACGAACACACACACACACATATACACACACACACACACACACACACACACACACACACACACACACACACACACACACACACACACACACACACACACACACACACACACACACACACACACACACACACACACACACACACACACACACACACACACACATATATACGCACACACACACACACACACATATGCACACATGCAGAATGGGTGACCCTCTATGACCCGAGTAATGACAGAGCCATGAGTGGAACACTTAGTGAGGATTTCATCTGTAACAGGGGTCTGTTAGCACGTCTCCTTATGGTTTCCATTTTGCATTTCTCTTTGACCTGACACGCAAGATGAACTCAGGCAGAAACAAAAAGGAAACAGAAACAATACAAAGAGATACATAGCAAAACAGATACATAAATACAAGCACAAAATAAGTTGTACTAAGATAACTAGATACCAGGCTCCCATTCATTTAAATAAAAAAGTTGCAAGACAGCAAACCATTCAACAAAAAAAAATGTTCTCTCACACATGCAAAGCTCATAGACATTGAGATGTGATATTCTAGGTTTGTGGAACCTTTTATATTCATGGGGGTCTGGCTGACCTACCGTACGCAGTAGGAGGATGAGGTGAACATCAGGAAGAGGATGAGAACCAACAGGACGCCTGTGACTCCTGGGACTGAAGAAAATCAGGCAATTAAAATAGGACACATTAACGTGAGATACATTTAATAGCAGGCAAGCAATCCAGTTCTTTATATGGACTCATTTTACCCACTGAAACAGCAAAACATTGGATTAAGATAAGTCTGAACACAGCATGACTTCCTTCTCTCTTCCTGAAATAAAAGCCACTCTAATCTGCAAGATGTTTACACCCTTAAATTGTTTTAAGTATCCCCTTTACCAGCATAAACATCACACACACACACACCTATGGTCAGAATGAAATACTGTATAAGAAAGTAGTGCTTCTTACTTGTGGTCAAAATGATCAGCTTGGGGTCCTGGGAAAGATACATAGAACATGGGTTAGGTGTGCAGAAGTGGTGTAAAGGGATAGTACTTCCTCCTCTGACTCAGTTTTTTTCATTTTTCAACCACTACTTTTGCCACTCTTTGTGTGTGCAACTTAGTGAAACACTATAAATGCCTTTAAGGAGATTTCCCATAGTTCTGTAAGCTTACCTCGCCCTAAAGGTCACAGGGAGATTTGGGGTTAGACATGTTCTTGTGATGGTTATGGTTAGAGGGAAGGAATGCATCAAGTCAATAGGGGGCCTCAAAAGTAAAAAGGACAAAACGTGTTTGTGTCTCACCTCTCCTCTGTAGCGAGCCAAATTGAGAGCAGGAAAATCCTCTGAGTAGCTCACACTGAAGTTGACAACGTTCGCCAGGTGGGCAGACACATGTACAACTACCGAAGAAGAGAAAGAGTTACACAGTATTCATTTGAAACACATTTGTTGTGCACAGACAACAGCACACATATGGAACAGCTCCTCTGCTTTAAACACACACACCCACACGTACACAGTCTTAATTATAATGGTCAAAATGATCTGCAAGGGGACACTCGTACAAAAATCTCTTTGTATATTCAGCAGAAAGTCAGCAAAATATCCTCCTGACTCACTGAAACACACACACACACACACACACACACACACACACACACACACACACACACACACACACACACACACACACACACACACACACACACACACACACACACACACACACACACACACACACACACACACACACACACACACTCGCACACACACACCTCCCTGACATCATAGGCTAACCATGCAGCCATTCGACAGCTGATGGAATTAGAGGGCGTAATCATGAGACACAAGAGTCCTTTTTTCTCACTCACATCCTCTCTCACTCCCATTGCTCCCCCCAGCCCCCCTTTCTTCTCTCCATGTGTGTCTCTCTCCCATCCCTGCTGTCTTCATTGTCAGTTGCTGCCTCAACACTTTGGAACTCCGCTATTATAACATGAGAGCTTTGCCTGAAGGGTGTGTGTGTGTGTGTGTGTGTGTGTGTGTGTGTGTGTGTGTGTGTGTGTGTGTGTGTGTGTGTGTGTGTGTGTGTGTGTGTGTGTGTGTGTGTGTGTGTGAGTGTGTGAGAGAGGAGTGAATGGCAGTGAAGAAATAAGACTTAAGCTTACAGAAGATGCCATAGTGAAGAGAATTTCTATGGATCCGTTTTCTGTTAGTAAACATGGAAGCAGAATAATTCTCTGAACACGGCAGCTAATGCAGCCTCGAAAGTTGTGTTGCCTTGATTTTTAACAATGGATGAAAAAATGTGAGTTTCTTTAAAATGTGTCACTCTCTGGGACTGACAGTGTTCCTTGAGAAAGTTATTAGGCAACGGGACAAGATGGGTCCACCCTAACCTTACATGTTCACTAGTTTGGACATTCTGATAGGATTACAGGAATAAAATGTAAATACAAATCCATAAAAAAACTATTATGACAGGATCACTAAGAGAAAAAGCACACAGCATATTGTTTTATGTAGGTGGCTTGTGCTGACTTAGTTTCACTTTATCGTGAGAAAGAGTCATGTGTTTCCATACAGATATGAAGCCTCTCAGGAAACACAAGAATGGATAAAAGGAAGAAGCCTGTGAAGCAGAGACCCAGCGGACACACAGCTGCTGGAAGCTCTCATGATGTCATGAGGGGGGACCCACAGGAACAAGATCAGACACACACACCCACCCACACACACACACACACACACACGGCAGGAAAAATCTTCATGACCAGCTAGAAGGGCTTCACAGCTGGTACGCAAGGATTGCTGAGCCAGCCTGGGTCCATTTGTTAACACCTCACACACACACACACACACACACACACACACACACACACACACACACACACACACACACACACACACACACACACACACACACACACACACACACACACACACACACACACACACACACACACACACACACACACACACACACACACACACAGACACACACACACACACACACACACACACACACACACACACACACACACACACACACACACGAGCTGTGGTGATAAGTGACAGTTTTTACCAGAGAAGATGCAGATGGAAACTCCACATGCCACATGAAAGGTCTTGCTCTTGTCCAGCAGTCTGCGAGTTTCTCTGCTCGATACCTGCATGAGTGTGTGTTATAACACAGACAATAGTGTTATTTTTGTGGCTTAGAGTCAAGAGAAACATAACACATATTCTGAGTTTTCAATATATCCTCTTCCCTCCCTATATTTAGATTGTATCTTTACCAACGAGGCAACTTTAATAAATCTTAACATAAAAATCTCCCAAATGTACCTCATAGGAAACATTGCATTTAAGTAGTGAATTTCCCATATGCCCATATCTACACATGAGTATATATAATAAAAACATACTAACAGGAACACCCTAACAGATTTTGAAAAAACTATTGTCCCTCAGAAATCCTGCACACTTTCAAATTGACATCTGGGGCCTCATTTATAAACGGTGCGTACGCTAAAAAGGTGGCGTACGCCTATGGGCTCAGAACAGTCTCATAATACACGCATGCACACAGAAGGATTCACACTTGTATTTCATGATCCACAAAAGGATTCACACTTGTATTTCCGGATCCACACTTGTGTTTTTCAATGCACACACAAATGTGTTCCGTTTCATATACATGTAAATAAAATCCAAATACAGAAAAAAGTTTTACATATGTATTTTTGATCCTCACATATTTGTTTTCCGTTTAAATCCCCTGAACCTGCAAACACAAACCGCTTTCTGTGCATGGATTGCTCTGCATTCGTGTGTGGGTTTTTTGAGACTCCCCTGACGGTCACCCGATTCGTACTTGTAATTTTTTCTATCTATAGCCAATCAGATGTCTCCTCAATTCTAAGCCAATCACATGAGCGCGCCCCCACGAGGGTAGATTTCTTGCGTTCATGTCACTTCATATACGCATTTTGCGTAGTCCGGAGCAGGGTTTCCGCGGACAGAATTTAATTTTACCGGACAAATTTGAAACTTACCGGTCATGTTTCAATAATAATAATAATAAGAATTGTGTAGCAGCGTTTCCGTTAGGTAATTACCGGACTATGACCGGATAATAACACGGGAGTAAGGATCATCTCTTTTCCTCTCTCCCTCCCTCTCTCCTGACAGCCCGTCAGTTTCTCATGCAGCTCGCTAAAACTTCACTCGCGTTTATGTCCATATCGATCAGATCCAGCTCTCCTGATCGGCCTTTATAGAGAGCACCGATCAAACTATTAAGAGTGAATATCGGCCGATAATGACCGGCGGGGCTCCCCCCGTTGACAGTTCACTGTCTAGCACTGGCTTCGTAGTGCACTGATCGATTAGGCTAAGCTAACCTGTAGCTGCTCCCTCCACACTCACAACAACTTCATACAGACATAAATAAAGCAGCTGATCGCCATACAGGAAACACACATTTAAAACAGTTTTGCCTGCCGTTTTTGTGTACACAAGCATTCATTAATGGTTCGGAAAGTGGCACTGTACCTTAATAATATAAAGGCTTGTATTTGCGTGCATTTCCTGATCGGAAAGTGGTAATGTACTGAGAGTGGAGGTGTCCTGAGATTAGCGCCTGCAGGCAGGCTCCATGGACCTGTCAGCTCCGGACAGCGCAAAATGCGTACATGAAGCGCTACGTCATGAACGCAATAAATCTACCCTTGTGGGGGCGCGCTCATGTGATTGGCTTAGAATTGAGGAGACATCTGATTGGCTATAGATAGAAAAAATTACAAGTACGAATCGGGTCACCGTCAGGGGAGTCTCAAAAAACCCACACACGAATGCAGAGCGATCCATGCACAGAAAGCGGTTTGTGTTTGCAGGTGCAGCGGTTTTAAACGGAAAACAAATATGTGAGGATCAAAAATACATATGTAAAACTTTTTTCTGTATTTGGATTTTATTTACATGTATATGAAACGGAACACATTTGTGTGTGCATTGAAAAACACAAGTGTGGATCCGGAAATACAAGTGTGAATCCTTTTGCGGATCATGAAATACAAGTGTGAATCCTTCTGTGTGCATGTGTGTATTATGAGACTGTTCTGAGCCCATACACGCCAGTTACTAAACAATATTTGCGATTTATAAAAAACAAACTTGACGGGAAAATGTGCGGTCCTCCATGCAAACTCTGACCCATGCGTATGCACTAAGCACAAAAACGGGAGAGACGAGAAACTGCGACACCGTTAGCAGAAGGAAGAATGGAGAGAAATATGTGAAAATAATACCATAAATAAAATGTTACCTCTCATTTATCAAATATGAAGAATTCATTTGCAAACATTGATTAAAGCCAATCTTAAAATGATGAAACAAACCCCTGTTTGAGACTCCTCAGTGCACACAAAAACATAACTTGGAGAAATAAATATATACGGATATGTTATTGAAAACCACCTCGAATATGTTGTCTTAATGTTATGACATGTATTCTCATAAATGATGCGGTAAACAGAAGGACAGAATTACGTCTAAACTGAGGCCGTTTTGCTTTTCTATAGGTTG